GAACAGGATGCGGCCCCATTTATCTCAGCCCGGGGGCCTCGCTAATTTAATGAGCGACAGCAAGAACTTTTAATCCAAGTGACGCTCCTCTTCGGCCTTGGGCCCGCCCCTTCTGCGTGCAGCCCCCGAGTTTCCTGGAAAAGGGGTTCAGCCCCCAAGTTGAGTGAGGCTCTGCACTCTGGTCTCTGCCCTGGGGATCCTACAGAACAGAGGGTCTGCCTGGGAGTCGCTCGGGGCTCCAGCGCCCCTCCTTTCAGGGGATGGCTTTGCCAGAGGGTCGGTCTCGGCGGGCCATGCGAGCAGATGTCCCTCACCGGAGCGCTTGATCAAAGGGGCCGGCTAATGTGAGCGGTCGGAGGTTCTCTCGCGTTCCGGCATCCTCCTGGTGCTCCAACCCTGCATTTCCTGCCTGACGGCAAAGCCAGGAGGAGCAGTTTCTTCACACCTCGCAAAAGATCTGGATTCTCTTCCTCTTTCCCAGAATCAGAAATCCATTTTTCCTCTGGCCACGATAACATTGGAGGTGGACTTTGCACACAGTTGTGGAAGATTGGACAGTGACCACTAGTCCTGCTGGCCCTGCGCCGTCTGCAGCATCAGAGGAAGTGTGCCCGTGCACACCCGTTGCTGGGGAACATGGGGAGGAGGGTGCCCTTGCAGCCTGTGCGCCGCTGTTTGGCTGGTGTGGAAAGAGGTGGCTTGCAACGCCAGCTCTCTCATGTTGTTAACCCAAATTTTATGGGCACCTTAGAAGTCTCATCTTTGAAGTAATTGACTATGTGACCTTAATGATTAAGAACTTTAATTTCCCCAGACAGTTGGAGGGAAATTGGGAACATTGTTTGAAGAAGTTGGATTAGTTGTGTTCTCCGCACCTCCGGTCCTCCTCACGAGCTGGGAAGCAATCAGCATTACTTGGGGGACCGAAAACGATGGTTTATCTTCTAGCACTTGACTGAAGGAAATAAATACATGTTTTTTACATGTATCAAAGTCTGATCTCTGAGTTGCCCCTTTGTCTCTTGGAACTTGCCCCAAGAACTGACCTGGGGGTCGCCACTGAAGTAGTAAGAGCCGGGGGGAAACAAAGGGATTGGAAAGGGGAGAATCTTTCCGCAGTTTAATTATGTTGGTCTAATTGTTTTGGGGAGGGGAGAAAGATAGAGGTCCCGCATTGAAGTCGCTCATTTAGATCCCCAAATCGAAAGCAGAATATCTTCCCTGCAGCTGCGGCTCTGAAGCAATTTTTTCCAGCTCCCTGGGACACCCCAAGCAATGCCAAGAGAGAAAGCCAGTCTCTGAAAAGAACCCCTGCAAATAGAGCTCATTTCCCCTTGCGCCTCCTCGGTTTCTTCTCTCGGTGGAGGCCATTTAGCTGAGAATGAGAGAAGACAACCTCAGGGGCAGGAATGCTTTGACTTCTAACTTCCTCCAAACAACCGGAAAACATTTGCACAGGGCATGCCAAATACCTCTGGGAGCCGGAGGGGAGATTTCCCCCCTTGGGGATGGTTTGTCCCCCAGAAAGCAAGCCAGACCCAAATTTGCCTCACCCCTTTCAAGATGAGATCTCTTTTTAAGATAAGTGGTTCCGTTTTCCCCCGGCTGTCAACCTAATTCTCTGGGTCACTGTTTCTAACAACAGTTCCGACACAGGCCGAGGCATTGCTTTCTATCAGTGTGACCCAGCTGTCTAGAAATTCAGATTAAAGCTCCCCCTTTCCATGTTTTCCCCTGCCACACTCTTTACCAGATCTGTTTGCCGTAGATAATAGTCCACAAACTTGCCTTTTCTTGCACTGAATGTTAACGCGGGGAGAGCTGGCAGGGAGGGATGATGCATCCGAAATCCTGAGGATCCTCTCTGGGTTCAAGCAACAGCGGACTGAGCTCTTTTGGCCTCTCTGGATTTAGTCGACAGCTCCCAAACCCAGAAGAGAGAAGCCAGTGCCAGTGGGAAGTCCAGCAGGTTAGGAAACTTCGCCCGAGCCAAAAGAGGGCCAAGCCAGTTTTTCCTGGAGGATCTGCTATCGAAGCAACCTACCATTCGCATATAATCAATTTTCTGCTTGGAGTTGGGGGGGCGTGCCATGGACCCCTAAAAAGGCACATTTTTCGTTGCCATTTGAACTGAGAAAAAGGGTCCCGTGGTGCTCACAGTATCCCGTCCCAAGTCAGGAGAAAGTCTAATCCTGACTGCATCCCAGTTTTAAAAAGCAAGAACCGTTCATGAACTTAAGGTAAGCTGCAAACTGCCCCGACAAAATTTCAGTGGCGTTTCTTCCCCATGGCTGACTCCATATGAAAAAAAGGAGAATTGTGCCGTTTTCTTAGGTGTGTGATACTTTGAGGGAACCTGGGAAGGGATTTTGGTCTTGGTGCGCAGAAGCCCAAAGAAGCATCAGCAATGTCATCTTCCCTGGACAAGTTTTCCTGAAATATGGCACCTTCCCGTCTCTGCTGCGGAGGAAGAACTCTCGTCCCCCCAGCTCCCACTATTCCAGTTCCGGAGATGCCACCCCGGAGAATCATTTGGAGGCTAAACCCCAAATGTTAAGTCCTAGAGGGAGGGGAACCTTATGCAAAAGGGTTGCTCTCGGCTTCCCCGGAGGAAGTCAGGTTCCTCATGAAACCAGCCCCAAACTTTTAACCTCATTCTTTTCCTCAGCAGACATTACCGAAGTCCAGGGCTGGAAGCAGGAGGAATCAGAACCCTCAGAAGATAAAGAAAATCAATTTCCGGGTCCTTTTGTTCTGTTTTCCCCTTCTTTTTATTATCACATTTCAACTAGGGCTTCTTTGGTGTTCACATGACGCCACTCCCTCCTATTTTAAATGGGTCTTAAGAAAAGCTCTTCTTTCTGGCTTTTATCTCTCCTGCATATTTTTATAAATGGACGGCTGCGGAGTCTTTTGGGGGGGGGCATGGGGAGAGCTGGGGCAGCAGAGAGGGGAGACCAGCTTGCCGCAAATCCATACAAAAGTGTTCGCCCAGGCAGGCTTTCGAGTCCCACCAAATTCCTTGCCAGGTAAACAAAGCAAAATTTATTTATTTGCTTTCTATACTGGCCATTAACCAAGAGGGTTCTTAAAAGGAGCTCAGTTTGAAGGCACAGCAGCTGCATTTAGAACTGGGACTAAAGACGGCAAGAAATCCGCTCTTGACTCAGCTGCATTTGATTTTATAAGCATCCGACCTGGGAAAAAGAAACAGGAAGCAAAGCGAGAACCTACCTTCCATTTTTATATCCTGTGTGTGCAATCTTTTTCAGGCTGAAAAAGGCCCGGCGTGCCACAGACGAATTCCTGTCATTGGGCTTCCTATGAGAGACAAAATTAATTCATTTTAATAGGGATCTGACAATGCGTTATAAATGATTTCTTAAACTAAAACAGAAAACAGAAAAAACTAAGGAAGGGAAGAAAGCATCAGGCTGATTTATATTAAGGTGCAAACTGGCATCTGTCTACTCAGAAGTAAGCCCTCTTGACTTCACGGGGACTTACTCACTGGTAAATGTGTGTAGGACTGAGTTAATGTTAAGGAGGTTGACAGCTTTACAGTATTTTTGACAGTTTTACAGTATTTTTAAAAAGACTCCTATTACAGGAAAATCCCCTGTAACCTTCAAACAATGAGCATTACACCTGTATGAACTGCACTGCTGAAAAACCTAGAAGGCCACCAGCACAAAAAGAGGGCCATTTCTTTTTTGCAAAGGACACGGACTAACCCATAAATTCTCATGCACACATGGAAGAGATGAAAAGCCCTGGAACAGATGGTGCAGGGGGGAGTGTCGCGTGAAAAAGAGACTGCTTTTGACCAGTTAAAAATGGATGGCGGCCCGCCGCCCGGGGAACGCCCTGTACTGACTTTAGCGCTCCAATCCTGTCTCGGTCGGTCCGTGGCGAGGCTTTGGGATTAGAGCAGATTTCCACGGCCTGGGGCGCTTCCGATGCCTGAGGCTGCAGTGTTTATATCCCGGGAACACTGGCCGGGTGACGCTTTGGCCCCCAGGGTTATTCCCTACAAGCCCCTAGGATTCTCTTGGCCGGCCGAGGATGCCTTGCTGTTCTCTCCAGCCTGAGATCAGAGACTGCTGTGGGGAAAGGGGGGGCACCTGCTTCGGGTGTGGAGCAGTGACAAGCCACAGCCCCTGGGCTCAGCGGAAAAATGCCTGTCCTCCCGTCCACAGCGCGTTTTGGAAGTCGTCGATCCTGGTTCCCCGCTCCTCCTGGTCTAGTGTGGTCTTTGCTGGCTCCCTGACTCCGGGCAAAATGCAGCTGTTCAACTTGTCGGCTTAGAAGAGGATTTTTTTAGGGCGAAAATGGCCTCTCGCCCACCTTTCCCCCCCTTTCTCTCATGCACTCTTGCAGATTCTTCTTTTCAGGAGAATCGAAGGCCTCCTCGTGGCTTGGCTAAGCCGTGGGCCCCTTCAGGGCTTCCTTCAGTGGCGATCATGCGGTCCTCGCAGGCGACCACCCTGGCACCCGCCAGTTTTCTTGTGCGCCTTTTCAATTGCTCCCCCCGTCTCCCTCTCCCCCCCCCACCAGCTTTCCCAGTAGCTCCTTAGTGGCTCCTGCAAAAAAGCTTTGTGGGAGAAGATAACAAACAGGAGTGTTTGAGAAACTGTTACTGAAGGCAGAAGCGGGGGACGTTTTATGAGGCTGTCTGTGCAAGCTGCGGCATCAACTCCTGCTCAGTCCGTGCCCCAGCATTAACCTGGGCACTTGGTAATGTTGCAGGTTACTTTGCTTGGCCGTCGCCCCCTGCAAGTGGGCTGAATGCTGGCCGGATTGTCGCCCGGTAGCTCCCCAGAGGTTTTGCTGGGTTCAGACGTGCGAATCCACATGTAAGGATTAAGGAGGGGTTGAATGTGGGTTGCCATTGATGTGGGTTATTGAGTTGTCTGAACTCAGCTGGAGGATATTGACTGGTCCCCGGCTCAACACGGCGGCGTTGCGTCACTTGCTATCCCAAGCCCTCTGCTTTGCAGAATTTCTGTCTGCGACGAGGACAAATTCCGCCACAACGAGTTCATCGGAGAAACGAGGATCCCGCTGAAGAAGCTGAAGCCCAACCAGACCAAAAACTTCAACATCTGCCTGGAGAAGCAGCTGCCCGTAAGTGACAGAGAAAAGCGCCGCCAAAGCCGACTGCTTTGTAGCTAGAAATGTTCTGTATGTATAGACCAAGAGGAAGCCCCTTGACCAAGCTGGGCTTACTTCAGTGTAGACCTACGTAGAATTTGGAGTTGCAGCTGATCGTGATGGGGAGGGAAGCCTCTGTGGGGATTGGCTGAGCTTTGAAATTCGGGGCGGGGGGGGTGTACCTGGCCAGCAAACAGCCAGTGATGGGGAGGGGGCGGGGGAAGGGGAAGGGGCTGCCTGGGACATTTGAGGCCAGGCAGGTTTGGCCCTCGGTTTCCCACCCCTGTTCTGCTTGTGGGTCTCCCAGACCCAAAGGACCTGAAATTGTCTGTATCATGGGAACGAGAGAGAGCCAGGGCAGTGGAGAGAGTGTTAGCCTAGGACTTTGGAGATCCGGGTTCAAATCCCCCTGGGCGACGTTGGACCAGCCCCTGCAACTCAGCCAAACCTACCTCGCAGGGTTGTTGTGAGGGCAAAAGGGAGAGGAGGAAGATGGAGAAGCCCCCTTGGGCTCCTTGTAGGAAAAAAGCTGGGCTATCAACACGGTTATACTGATTAAAGGAAGGTGTTAAATGCCATTCCCTTTCCTTCTGCTGATTTCCGCCAGTGTAGGCTGCTATGAATTTGCTTTCTCACGGGAGCTCTGGCTGCTGCCCTTACATTTTAAAGTGCAGTGAGGGAGAAGGAGAGAGGGAAAAGAAAAGAAGGCGTTTTGCGAGCCAGCAATTCGAGAGAAGAGAACAACATCTGGGAGGAGCACGTGCCGCATCCCAAGGGAGGCTGGGCGGGGAGGCGTGATGGAAGGATACAGTGACTGCTGGTTATTCCAGCCCAGCTGACCGGCCGACCCGCAGGACGGCTGGGGGGGGAGGCTCTGCAGCCGGGCTTCTCGCCGCCCCCACCCACTAACACGAAAGCCTCGCTCGATCGAGGGCGTCTGCCTGGATTTCGCTCCTTCCCCGAAGGCACAAACGCGCCCTCGGTCAAGAATGGAGCCCTGAGCGTATCCAGAGTCGCTGGCGATGCCGCTGTTATTTGAAAGAGCCCCAGAGTCTAGGGACTGGTCCGGATCCGTCCCTCTGGACTTTCCAGATGCCCACGGCCCTCTCGCTGACCGGGCTGCCTGTCCGCAGACCACGGATTATTTCGTGGCTAGCACAGATTAAAACACCAGGCAAAGTATAAAAACTATTTGTGTACTAACATAAAAACAGACAGCAGACACATATGTCTAAACCATTTAAATAATGAAAAAAGACCCCTCTGGGACTTGATTAAAAGTTCCTTATAGGCTGCCCCTTGCCTGAGAGAAGAGGAAAGCTGTAACCTGGCACCCAAAAATTAACTGCTGTGGCATCTGGAGGCCTTCACTGGGAAGATCCTTCCAGCACTGGGAGTCACCACAGAGAAGGCCCTGCCTTTCCCTCGTTGCTGTTTTCTAAGAAAAGGCATCTGGAAGAGAGCCTTTGAGGACAAACAGGTAGGCTTCTGCTAGAAGAATTGCTCCCTTTATCAAATTTAAATTTTTTTATGCCAATACTAAAAGTCTCTGGATGGCTTACAAAAAAAACAAAGCAGCCATATACAACAACACACAACACACCGCATCTGATAAATGATGATAAAAACAAGGATAAAACCAATTAACGGTTAAAATATTGGGAAAGGTCGTCACCTGATGCTGAAAAGAATAAAGCGATGGTGCCAAGCAAACCCCCCGGGAGCGTTTTCCACAGTCCAGGAGCCACTGCTGAAAAGGCCCTTCGCCAAGTAGCTGCCCTCCTAATACCCTCCATCGGTATTGCAGTCCTGAGTCGTGGATGTATGCTATTTATTACTTATTATCAGGTTTATATCCTGCCTTTTTTACTTTCAAAGAACTCAAGGCAGCTTACACCATTCTCCTCCTGCTGCTTTCCATCTTATCTGCACTACAACAACCCTGCGAGGTAGGCTGGGCAGAGAGTTCCCAGTGGGCTCAATGGCTGAGCGGGGACTGAGACCGCGGATGGCCCCGGCCCCAGCCCCGTGCGCCCAACGGCGACGCCACACCGGCTCTCCGTTCCAGAAAAATAAAGTGACAGTCTTGGGAGAGCGGCATTCGGCGACAGGAGAGCGCGGTGACCCCCTTGCCCTCGGGGCTGCCTCTCCATTCTCCCTCCCGTCTCTTTGCAGATCGACAAGACGGAAGACAAGTCCTTGGAGGAGCGTGGCCGGATCCTGATCTCCCTCAAATACAGCTCGCCGAAGCAAGCTCTGCTGGTGGGCATTGTCCGGTGCGCGCATCTGGCCGCCATGGATGCCAACGGCTACTCGGACCCCTACGTGAAAACGTGAGTGAGCCCACGCTTGCGGCCGTCGTCCGGCCTCGGAGAGGCCGAGGCTCCCGTGGTTCTTCGGACACAGGCAGCCCACAATTCAGCCCAGGGAACACAAGAGCCCTCCCTCGAGGGTCGAGCGTGGGCTGTCTGTGAACCATGGTTTCTCGTGTTGTCGGAACCCGGCCACACTCAGAAACCCTGGTGGACCACACGCGGCCCACCACTCACAACCCAACAACGGACCTGCATCGGCTGTCTGTGGTGAAGAGATCACGGCTTGCTGTCTTGGCGGGGTTCAGACCAGATGAGAACCCATGTTTCAACAGCAAGCCGTGATTCAGCACCAGCCCACACCGAGCATGTGTGCGTCCTTCGGAACCGGCTGAATTCTGGTTTCACTCTTCGAATGTGCAGCGCTCTCCGTCAGCTCCCCCTCTGCTGTCTCTCCCGCCCGCCCCCGTCCTCCCACTTTGGATGTGGTGCCCAGAACCCGGCTCTGCCAATCCGCACGTAGGGAGACGCTCTCAGCATGAAGAGCAGCAAACACACCCTGCCTAGAGTCCCCAGACTCATTGGGATTCCCTTCCAGGCTCCAGCAGTTCCACAGAAGCCTCTGAGGATATTTTGATCTTTCTTTCTCAGACACCCACCTTCCTTCCTTCCTTCCTTCCTTCCTTCCTTCCTTCCTTCCTTCCTTCCTTACTTACTTCCTTCCCTCCCTCCCCCCCCCCCCCCCCCCCCCTCCCCCCTTAACCCCCCAGAATCATTCTTGCCCATATTTAGGCCAGGAAAATAGGCATCCTCCGGATTCGTTTGGGTACTTCCCAAAGTGGGTGTGCAGAGGAGAATCCTGGGAAAGAAAGAAGTGGGGGTTCCTCCAGGCCAAAGGCCACCCCACCCCGTGAAGACATGGCCGGTGGCATCTTTCTTGGAGTCACCTGCTTAACAGTCGTCCTTTCTGGGCTAAACTAGATACCACATTGAGCGTCTGCTTAAGACCCTGTGTTGAGTGCAGCTGATCTTTGCTGGGGTGTTTTTACTCGGAAGGAAGTCTGCTTGCCAGCAGCAGCCAGTAGGTTTAACGTCTGTTGGGTGGTGTATCCACACCGTATTTCAGCCTGAACTCAAAAGGAGCTGTCCATGGTTCTGACATTCTTCACGAATGGTCCCATGGATATCTCTTCCAAGTTTGGCTCAAAGCTGGCATGGATACCCCACCCTACAGACATGGACGCCCCTGACTTCAACTGTGGTGGGCCCAGAACCTCCCCATGGAAGAGTGAGTGGGGGGACACACACCAGCGGACACTTCAGCTTGCTCAGGGACTTCAGTCCTAATTCTCTCCAACAACGGCCGACCTTCCCCAGGTTGCCGGCTTCCAGATGCTCTGCCCCCACAGCCACCCTCATCGCATGCAACCCAGCCAGGAATGCCAGCCCATAATATCTTGGCGTCCTCGAGCTGGGCAAATCTGTTCTGGAAGGTTCTAGTCCAGCAGTGCAGAACCTGCTTCAGCCCACGGGCTGCCTCCAGATTCGGAAGAGGCCTTGGTCTATTTTAGCTCAGAGCAAAAACGGCAAGAACCCCCAAGACTCGGGAGAGAGGATTCAACCTTCTAAAAGGCAGTGCGGGCCTGGATCGGGGCCCTAAGGGGGGCAGAATTTGACCCCAGGCCTGAGGTTCCCCCTGCCTCCCTCCTTCGTACGTCTGTCCGTCTGTCCTTCCTTCCTTATTTGTTGGCTGCATATATGTTAAAGGTACACAGAATGGCCCACAGCACTGTAATGTTTAGAAAGCGCATCCCACAGAACAAAAACCTAATACACCGAGAGAGGAATAAATAAATTTCAATCATAAAACGGCAAGGAGATAAAGGCGCTGCAGAGCCGAAACAGCATAAAGGTTGGAAGGCGCCCCAAGCAAGCTTTTCATTTTTTAATTAAAAGCTGGGAGCGGGAGAATACTTCTAACCTCCTGCCTAAAGGTGGGCCACTACTCCCAGACGCCTTTCCTCGGGGCAAGCCGGAGCAAACGCTTTGGGATTCACTCCCAAGCAAATATTTACGGACCGTGTTTTGGGTGTTTAAAATTCTCGCCTCCTCTTTCCTCAATGAGCAAAAGCGAGCAAAAGGGAGGAAACGAACACCCTGCGAGACTCAAACAGATCCCAGCTCAAACAGATCTCACTTTGTCGCAAGGAGCTTTGGGGACCAGGACCCTCCGGCCCGGCCTTGCCGTCCCCCTTTCTTCCCTCCCTCGTTCACTCTCTCTACCCAAATTGGCCGATCTCATTAAGATATGCAAATAAGGCAGCTCCTTTTGCATTCTCGGAGGAGCCTTCAGCCCCCTACTTTTCAGGTTTTCCGTGGAGACGATATTCAGAGGTACCGCATTTGCGGCCAGACGTTAGAGGAACAACAGCCAGAGGCACGTGACCTGGCACTTGTTCCCTGCGTGGATCGAATTCTCACGGCGTCCTGAGGGAGAAGCGGTGGGAACAGGACGGACTGGGCAGAGCCTGCGGCGTCGCTTATCCCACCCCAACAGTGCCACGTCTCTTCCCTGGTATAGGATCGCTGCAGGAGGTGCCCTGATACCAAGCTGCATTTCCCCTGCTTTAAATAACAGCAGCCCTCCAGCACTTTCCCCCATCCTTTGCTATTTTCCTTTGAAAACTGAAAATCCCAGGGAATTAACCTGGTCTTTTCTGTATGGAAAGCAGGGGCTATACTCTGGATCTATGCCCCTTCTCTTTTAAAAAAACATGAAAATATAGATCCCAGCAGTGAAAACTGTTGGCTGTCAGAGCAGGGAGACAGCCTTGCTGACACTGGCGCCTTCAGCTGCCACAGGATTCTAGTCCTCATGGTTCTAAAAGTAGGACTGACTTGAAAAGGCACGTATGTGGGGTTCTGCCTTCTACACAGCCAGATGGTGAGACCATCTGGCTGTCTGGCCCTTGCCCTACCGTCTCACCACCAAGCATGCCACCAAGGCCAGCCGCGATCCAAGGGAGAGCTGTGTCTCAGCGAGGCGGGGAAAGTGCACCAAGGGCTCGCTACTTCGACGGATCATTTCCCACATGGAATTCTCTATCCTGAGGAGTTTGCAGCTCGCCTTACCTGGGTGTGCCACGCAAGAAACAGTCCATCTGTTTTCCTTCCTGTGTGGGGGAGGAGGGGAGAAAGCAGCGATTGGATTTTCTGGCGTCCTTCTGGGAAGACGGGCTGAGTCACAGCATCCGCTTCCATCCGAGTGAGGCAGCCATGGGGAGCAGGGGGTGGCATGAGCGGCAGGCACAGGTGAGCCAGGCACGGGGTTCCAGAAGCGTCGGCTGCTGCAGGGCGCCCGTTGATACCGCCCCCATCGGGCCCGAAGGAACTTACTGCTGTTTGAATCTTGCTTGTACCTGGGAGGGAAAGAAGCTGAGATTTTAAAAAACCTGAATGTGGATGAGAGAGAGAATGAGAGATTGGTTCCTTCCTAGCCTGACCCCCACAAAAGTTTCTCCTCTCTCAGTTGTCACTATCTGGCTGTACAGAGACAGCGTAGAGGAGAAAATAGTGTCATTTCGGCCCTGCGGAAAGGCAATTTAACTTTTTCCTCTGCCATCCCCATCCCGCTTCCTTGGATGCTATGGCTTTTGATATAGCAAACAACTTCAGGCACTTTTGTCCTTCTCTGAGGAGCAGCATTAAAAAAAACCCTTTAAACCTATAGAAGCAGCAGTGTTTTTGCCCCCTTGCAAACCTGGCTGGGCCCCCAACCACTCCAGCTGCAGGGCTCCAATTCAGAGTTACCTCCCCTGAAATAATGCAGGCCTTGAAGTCCATCCAGCACACAGCAGACCGACAATTTATGCAGGATATTTTCCTGCTTTTGAACTCATAATTAGGTTTTATGGGCGGAAAAGCAGTGTCTGTAAATACCTTACCTGCCCCCACTCCTGCGCACGCACCCATCCAATCTTCAGCTCGTTAAGCCCCCCCCCCCCCCCGGCTTGATCTGCTTATTCTCTCGAGTAACTTAATTCTGTTTGTAGCAAAGGAGATGCTCTGCCCGGTCATTAGGCGAAACGAGGTATGCCTTCGGAGCAGACGGGGCCCCTTTTAGCACCGTTGATGGCCTGTCTGCTCTCTTCTCCGCTTTCTCGTAAACCTCCCGGAGAATGGCAGCTTTGGGGGCATGTTGTTATTTCCAAGGCTGCGGGGTGTCTTCAGATAATTGTGAGAGGCACGACCCCTTGCCTGCTGAAAGAGGGAAGAATCCAACACCAACATCGCGGAGTTGTCGGCCTTTTCAAAGGTGCTGTGCAAAGGCGCACAAAACTATCTCCTGATGGTTTATAGCTATTCGTCTTCTTTTTGACTGACTGAAAAGGCACCTCTGGCTTTCCAGACAGGAGATCTTTGGGGGTGGAACTATTTTTTTAATAAAAGAACCAAATTGTCTTAAAAGCAGCACTCTGTCTTGAATGGGGCAGACTTTCTAATAGGGCAGGCGTGAAGGAAACGGAGATGCTCCACATGCTGGTGGACAACAAGTCCCATCAGACCTAGCCAAGGGGAAAAATGATAGGGACTGAAGTCGAGTAACATCTAGATGGCTGCATATTCTCACCCCACCCTTGTAACAGAGGCCTGTTCCCCACAAAGTAGGATTCATGGCCACTCTAGCTTTCAAACAGTCCTCTTTGGGGGCACCTGTGTTCTGTGTTTTTAAAAAGAATGCATTAATTAAAGCCTGTTGGAAAGCATCCGGGAGGTTGAGGCTTGAAGTGACAGCTTCGGCCACTAGGGGGCAGGCATGCACGCAGCGGCCTCGCTCTGCAGCCCCACGGTGTGGGGCCAGGGGGACTCACTGATCGAGGGGCTGCGCGGTGCGCCAGTCCCTGCCGTGGGGCAGCACCCCGGCAGGGGCAGGATGTGTCCAGCTCCCGCAGCCCCGTAAGCATCCTGGAAGTCCCCACTGCATCGCATGAAGGGCTGGCTCCATTTACGGGCCGACAGATACACGCAGGGAGGCAGGCAGCGGTTTCGATCATCCTTTTTGAACCTGAGGCATGCATGAGAAAGGAGGGACTGAATCTGGCGGCCGCTTCCTTGCAGATATCTGAAACCAGACGAGGACAAAAAATCAAAGCACAAGACAGCCGTGAAGAAGAAAACCCTTAACCCGGAATTCAATGAGGTACATTGTTATCATGAATACGTTGGATTTATACCCCACCCTTGCTTCTTCTTGTGGGGAAGCTGTTTGCGAGCTTGCCTTGTTCCTCACAACAACCCTGCGAGGTTGGTGAGGCTGAGAGAGTGGCTGGCTCGTGTAAAGCTGGGCTTCAGAAACTTGCCCCAGCCTGGGAGGGCCATGGGCTGCTCACCTTGGCCCCCGGATTCCCCCAGGCTCTGCCCTGCTCCCCTCACCCTCTGGGCTGGCCGCACTCCACTTCCGCACCCCTCAAATGCCAAAGCTTTTCGGTAGGCCTACAAAGAGCCCTTAGGAGAGCGGCCCTTTGAGGGCCCCGACCATCTGAGCATTTCTTCTGTCTGGGGTGGAGTCTCGGATCTTTCCGGTCCCGTGTCGAGTCTCTGGCTGGAATAGGCGGCCACTCCTCCCACGTGGCCTTGGCCAGCTAGTCCAAAAGGCCGGCTCCAGCCCAAAGGATGCACCTCGAGTGACAGTGCGGCCCCGTCTCTTGAACGCCGGTGCGCCTTCCTTCCCCGCAGGAATTTTGCTACGAGATAAAGCACGGCGACTTGGCCAAGAAGACCCTGGAGGTGACCGTGTGGGATTACGACATCGGCAAATCTAACGACTTTATCGGTACGCCTGACATTCCTGGGGGGCGGGGGATCAGTAATCCTTTAGAGATGTGCGAGATACTCTTCCATTCCTATTTCATCTTGCCATTTTTCTCACTCCCGTTTTGATGCACGCTTATCTCATTTGCACGCTCGGTCTAGCGCCCGAGCCAAAATTTAGCCTTCAGAATTGGCACCTCAACTTTTGCAGGTCTTTCTTTTAAGCAAAACACATGGAGAAATATTACATATTAGGGGAAAGCGTTGGTCAAAAGTGCTTTATAAGAGGGGAAATGCGTGTCAACTTGGGAAAGGAGCCCCGTTTCGCTCTCTCCTAATCTTAAAAAAACGGGCGAGAACGAGAAGCTGGATCGCTCTGTGCTCCTTTCCTGGCTCCATCGCGCTCCCCCGTTGACTGACCTCGTCTCCTCCTCCTCCTCCTCTCAGGTGGCGTTGTGCTTGGCATCAACGCCAAAGGGGACCGCCTGAAGCACTGGTTCGACTGCCTAAAAAACAAGGATAAGAAGATCGAGCGCTGGCACACGCTCACGAACGAGCTTCCGGGGGCCATCGTCAGCGACTAATTTCAGCCCCCTCTTCCAGGGTCCTGGGGGACCAGCACGGCCTGCCCCGCCAGCGCCTTCGGGGGACCGCTCGATGCTCCTTGGAGGACGGGCGCCTGGGCTGGCACGATGCCAAGGCAGAGGGGCTCGGCTGGAGTCCTGAGCGGCTGCCGCTCATGTGCAGGGAACGCTTTGGATCCCGGGCAACACGTGTCTTTTCTGCGGTTTGGCAAGCGTCCCTCCTCGGGAATTCTCCAGGATGCCTTCAGGTCACTTGTGCAGCAAATTTAGTGTGTGTGTGTGTGTGTGTGTGTGTGTGTTTTCGGGGGGGGTGATGCGGGAGGGAAGGGGAGCGGGGGAAACCGAGAGGCCTGCATGCATTAGAACCGTGACTTATTTGGTAAACTAAACCCAGTTCTTAATGCCTTGTGAATGCAGTGGAAACACGACTGCACAGTATCTCTATATGTCTCTGTTCCAGGTTTGGAGTTTTTTGGTTTTTCTGTATCTGCAGCTCATGTAAAGCATCTCCTGGATCGCGGAATTCTGTGACTGCAGGTGGCACCTGGGGGTCAGCTTTGGGGGTGGGGTCTTTTCCCACGTTTAATGTTTGTGATCACCTTTTCGGTGCGTGCATACCTGTGGGTTTACTTTCTGTCTTGCCCAGGGACGGATCCGGTTGAGCTCAGCTTCTCTGATTGTCAAGCATTTTCATTCTGTCGTCTGCTCCTTGACAGAATCAGACTTTTCTTTAACCAGAATTTTGTGGCACTTGCACTAATTCTCAAACGTACATTAATCAGACTTGTCTTTAACTAGAACTTTCTGGCATTTGCATTAATTCTGAAAATATGTTAGTCATGCGAATGCATGTGGATGCCAGTTAGGGCTATTCTTCCTACCCTTCCAAAAGTGAAAAATCGGCCCACAAATTTGCAGAACTCAAAAAAAGCTGTTTTGCTGCGGAATCCGCAGGTCGGATTCATAGAAATCCAAACCCATGTGATTCTGCTGTGGGGATCTCTAGCACCCCTAATTTAGTTTTCTGTTTTGGGAGTACATACAAAACAGAAACGTAACAAAGGGCTGAGTCAGAGCGATTCCCTCCTCCATTCTCTCTCTTAAATGAGTCACTTGTGGCTTCCGACCAGTTTAAAAGCATGACCCGCAGTTGGGAATCAGAGTTCTTGATACTTCCTGCTGCTCGGTAGCAGCCAAAGGAACTCTACTTTCCTCTTTACGCTGCTACCCCTTCGAAGAAACCACAAGCCTTCCTTCTTTGGAGCGAAGGTGCCGGCTTCAAACACCACAATTCTCTCTCTCTCTTTTGATACTGTACTGCTGTCTTTTGTTGAGTGCAACTTTGAAAGGGGCTTCCTTAACTCAGTCAGGAACGGTTTACATCCGAGCCGACATAAACAGTGGTGGGGGGGATCACCCTTCCACTACATTCAAACCTTAGTGCTGACTTTCATGGCTAACGTACAGCATCTTTTTAAAATAAACATGAAAAGAATTCGGCTTATTCCAATGTAATTTTTCTGGTAGTGCAATAAAGAATCCCGAGGGAAGGGCAGAGCAATTCTCTTTGGCATCACTTTTCCTTCCCAAAGCCCGTACATTTGCCTGGAATTTCCAAGTTGTGTTCATCCTGGAAGCATGGTGGAATGTCCTGTGGACGCCCCAAGCGGACGGAAAGGGAAGGACCTTCTAGTGTGCAAAACACATAGACGGTGAACCTCTTGCCCCCAAAACTCCATCTCCGAGGTTGTGCCTCCGACCTCAGTTCTTTCTGTACCAGTTGTGAAGACAGAGACGGGTGCTCTGAAGTTGGAGTCCCAGGCCCGACCTCGGAGCACGTTCCCGAGCTCGGCTTGGAGATGCGAAAGGTCGAGCAGCCCCGGATTGCACCCTAAATCCATTCTTCTTTGAGCGGATTCCCCAAGACAAGTTCACGCATTTGTCCCGCTGGAATGAGCCATTCCTGGATTCCTGACCAGAGTGTTTTCCATGCTCGTCCCTGTGGGTGAAGGTGGTGACGGTCTGAGTCGGGAGATGCACAAGGCGGCCGTTGCAGCTGTTTAAGAGCTGGTCTTGCTCGGGAATCAGGAGATGTGATCAAAATCAAGGGTGTGCTCAGAACGTCCCTGCCACATGGGTGTTATCAGAGAAATTAGTCCGGTTTAAAACAATTGCCCATATGTGCATTTTTGGGATCAGAAAAGCTTTTTCTGCGATCGGATTCTTTCCTTTAAAAAAACAGGAGGTCTCTTTGATAAGGGGTTCGTTGCGACTTCCAGGGAATTTGTTCATAAAACATTCCCAGTCCTGTGATTTTTTAGCATGCGCTGAACAAAAGTGCGTGGATTTTTCTCGGATTATGGAATTCCAGTGTGGTGTCGTGGTAAAGAGTGCGGAACTGGGACTCAGGAGGTCTGGGTTCAAGTCCCCACTCAGCCATGAAGCTCCCGGGCAGATTTTGGGCCAATCCCTGCCTCTCGGCCTTGCCTACCTCACAGGGTTGTTGGTTTGAGGATAAAATGGAGAGGCAGAAAACCTTGTAAGCTGACATGGTTCCTTGCAGCTGAGATACAAATGCAATGTAATAATATTATAGCTCCAAAACCATTTTCTATCTGGCTGCTTTTCGGTCACTTTGAATGGCAAGATATTTTGGGCCCTAATTTCACAGGCCTGCTTACTCAAATGACCTCTTGTGCCATTTCTGATCTTTGCTTAATGCAGATAAGAAAGCAGGAGGGGGGGGGGGGGGTGCCAGGCCTGCTGTACAACTTACATGATAAATGCAAGCAAGCAAGCAAAAATGTTTTGCATCTCGCAAAGGAAAATGCCCATCTATGATTACAGGGCTGCATTTATACAGCCCGCTTTAGGGCGCTCCTGGAAAAAGCACAAGAAAACCTTCTCTTAGGTGGCAGGGCCCTGCAGATGGATTTCCCCCCGCTACGCAAGCAATCGTAACATTACATGTAAGATGGTCCAGAGCACAACCAAGATATTGCCTTTTTCTTAAAGATAAATTCTTTTCCATGGTCACATCAATCTGAAATGCATTTTCCACCCTTGTGCTGGTGTGGTTGCTTCCATTGTCCACGCGGATTCTTTCAGCTTGTATCAAAGCCTTTTTTACCTGGATTGTGTGTGTATATATATAAATAAATATATATGATACGATATATAAATATATAAATATATATATATTTAAGGAAAACCCTATTGCATGCCAGTGGGTGGTTGTCATGCGAGAAGACGTGTTCGATGTTTGATACCGATGTTTTGCTACGAGTGACAGCTGCGGAAGGCGTTGTGACCTGCATCTCCACAGATGAATTTTGTATTTCAGTATTATGTGTACTTTTTTGGTCAGATTTGTTTAATCTTTATAAATAGAACCTCAAATAAAGAAATGAAGAAAGACACAAAACTCGTACGAGTGATAAAGTCTCCAGTGCGCCTTGCAAAGCATAAGCCAGGATGCTGAATCTCAAGTCAGGGGATTCTATTCAATTCTGTGCCATTCTATGGTGTCTGTAGAGCATTCAAGGATCCTCTAAACGATTTCTATCCTTTCTTCTGGTTGATGGGTCTTTGGTAGCTTCCTCATGTGTGTGTGTGTGTGTGTGTGTGTGTGTGTGTGTGTGTGTGTGTTTTCTTCTGGTATTAAAGGCTGAAATTCTTCTTTTAAGCTGTAGCTACAGGCAGGAAGACCTTCAAAGCAAAGTAGACTGGCATTTTCCTATGTCGGGAGCCGCCCCGTTTTGCTTTCGGCCCAAACCACCAGCAGGATGTGACCCGAGAGCTTCTCCAGGGGGGGACTTGGATCCAGGAAGCACTGCCCTCCTGCTGAGACCGCTTAGCTTAGGAAAAGGGCACAAAGAGAAGACAGGAGAGAGATGCTCGGAGTTATTTCAAGATCACTCCCACCAAAATCCTGAAGAAGTGTAGAATAGCCATTTTGAAAAGGCCAAACGGGAGCAGGTGGTGCATCAGGTGACGGTCAAGAGGACTCTGGCCAGAGCACGCAACACCAGGCCGCGGGGACAAACGGCCTGGTGCCATCAGAGGCCGGGGAACAAACACCCGCTGACGAACTGGCCCCAGGAGTGCTCAGCCGGGACTCATGCAGTCTAAGCTGCCTGGGCCTCCCTGCCCCACTGGAGATGCTCCGGGAGATCAGTCGACCCTCAGAGCTTTTCTGGGGCTTCCCGCAGGTAGCAGCTCGGCAGAAGGAAATGCAGGCAAGGCAGCGGGCCGGGCGGGAGGCGATGCGGGTGGTGGTGGTGATGGCGGAGGTCTCTCTCCTCCGCTAGCTGCCCTCTGCCGCTTTCGCCACTGCGGCTGCCATCCACGAGGACTCCTCATCCCGCTGAGCTTGTTTCCCAGGCTGGGGCGAGCCACGTGCGGCTGGCCAGAAGTCCCGGCCTCCGACTCTCGGCAGCCCTGGCATAGAGGAACCGAGACTCACGGGGACGATGGATGGGCCGGAATGTGGATACACCTGCACCCTGTCCGCAGCCTCTGTGGGCCCTCTGAGCCCCTCCTCACAACTGCTGGGGAGGCAGGTGAGCTTCCCGAGTGACGATCGCAGGTGCCACCTGAGATTGGCCTTCCTTTGGTCTCTCCCATCCATCTGCTTCAACGGATGACCCTGCCCGATTCTAGGATTCAGAGGGAGAGAGACACCTCTCCATCAACTTCCTCCATGTCCCACAGCACGTCTGTGTTGCCGAGCATTTGACTCGGGCGCCCTTAAAGGGTGGCTGCACACACTGCAATTGCTCGCGGGCTCTGATCACGGACGGATTTGCCCCCAGATTCGCACTTTCTGGCCTCAGTTCCCCCTTTCACTTGGTGACCTGTGGCTACAGACCGCTGCCTACGCAGGAAACCACGCCACGTGCGCTCAGCTCTTCAGATGGCTGAACTTCACCTTCGCCGGGGACTAGGAATATAGTGTTCCTTCTTCGCAATGACTTCGGCGGACAGAAACCTCCAGCCAG